GGAATGCCGCTCAGCGTAAGCTTCTAGATGAGTTGGGTATTAAAGCTGAAGATGTACCGGTTGATGATTTCACTGCCTTGGGACGCATACTTTACAAGGCACCTTCTGATGGCAAGTGGGGAGAGCATGAACGTAATACTCTAAGACCCTTTGTTCTCTCTCTTAGTCTGTGTGTTTGTTCTAAGAAAAGCTCTCTGATTCTTTGATCTTTCTTACCTACTGTTAGTAAATACTGCAGTTTTGTCGGTTTTAGTTTGTGGAATCTTGCATGAAAAACTTGTCATTGATCAGTCATTTGTGCTTAAACGTTATTGTTACCCCGTGGGTTTGCAGTTGATTACCTGCTCTTCATTGTGAGGGACGTGAAGCTTGAACCGAACCCAGATGAAGTGGCTGACATCAAGTACGTGAACCGGGAACAGCTGAAGGAGCTGTTGAGGAAAGCAGAAACAGGGGAAGATGGCGTGAAGCTCTCACCTTGGTTCAAACTGGTGGTAGACAACTTCTTGATGAAGTGGTGGGATCACGTCGAGAAAGGAACCCTCAAAGAAGTTGCAGACATGAAGACCATCCATAAGCTCGTCTGAAGTTTAAACCATATATCACCTTACTTCTCTTACTTTGATTGTTGCAATAATATTGGAAAAAAGCTATAAGCTTTCAATGATTCTGTGTTCTGGGTTTTGTTGGTCGATCCATGGGCGGTGTTAGTATCTTCTTACGCTCACACTTTGTCTTTGTATCAAAACCTATACGACTCTTCAAACTCTTGTCTACGTTTTGCAAAGGGGATCTATTTTTAGCCAAGCTATTGAAACATGAAGAATTTTCAACAAGGTTTGTTGAACTTAGATCAGTAACTCGTGAATCAGATTACCATCTGTCACATAACATTACGCCAACGTGATTCGGGAAATATATAGAAGAAAACCGACAAAGAAACAGAAAAGGGTTAATAAAGAAACAGAGCCTGAAAAGTAAACAAAGACCGCGAGATTGACAACTGGTCTCAAAGCCCCTTTTAGCGAAGCTTCCTTACCGTCTTCCATGTCCTTTCGCAAACAAATTTCTTTTCCTCCGCAAAGTAAATTTAGAATTATTATTTTGAAGGAACCAAGTATAAGTATGACTCTGGTTTCCTTTTAATCACACCTCCTTTCTTCTCTGAACTGAACAAAGATCTACATAGCCCATCCGGGTTTCTTCTGTCTCAGGTAATCCCTCATCCATAAATGTGTATATATATATGGTTTCTCGTGTAAATGAATCCAAAGTTTCAGACTTGTGCATTCTGGGTTTGAGCGTTTCGCCGTGAAAAAGGTTGCAAATTTCGTGTTTTTATGGGTTTCTCGTGGAAATGAATACCAAGTTTATATTTTTTCCTTGTGGGTTTAAGCGATTTGCTGTGGAAATAAAAAAAAGATTGCAACTTTGGCGTACGATGTTGATATCTTCAGTTTCATAGTTTTGTTTCAGAATCGGTCTGATTCTTGAGAGTTTAATGATCATATTATCTATGATTGTCAGCTGGAAAAAAATGGCGTTTGTAACAACTGCGGAAGTGTGTGACGCGAATCAAGAGCTGATTCGGAGCGGCCAGCTCCGAGCACTGCAGCCCGTCTTCCAGATTTATGGCCGCCGTCAAATATTCTCGGGTCCTGTAGTCACTGTCAAAGTGTTCGAAGACAATGGCCTGATTCGTGAATTCCTCGAGGAGAAGGGTAAGCTACGGCAAATCTGGGTTTAAGCGATTCTGGTGTAAAAAAAGTTGGAAACTTTTGGCTGGTGAATGAAATTTCAGATGGCTTTTGATTTTCCGTGACCGGCAATAGGAGTCATTAGCTACAAGAAAGCTCTGTATTTGATAATTCTGGTCGACTCTTCATGAGTTATGGTGCTTGGATCAATCGTTTCCGATCGCTAAATGCTTTCCTCTTCCATCATATATATGATCATAACATCGAGCTTCAAGATCCGTTTTTTCTTCTTCCCCTTGTCAAAGATCATCCATTTGTCTGTGTTTTTTTTTCCGAGATCGAGGATTTTCTTGCAGATGGGTCCGTCCTAACGGAGTTTAAACGTGGATGAAACAGGGAACGGAAGAGTTCTTGTAGTGGACGGAGGAGGGAGTTTACGACGCGCCATACTCGGAGGGAACCCCGTGGTTCAAGCACAGAACAACGGGTGGGCAGGGATCATTGTGAATGGCTGCATCAGAGACGTGGACGAGATCAATGGCTGTGACATTGGAGTGAGAGCCTTGGCTTCTCATCCCATGAAGGCCAGCAAGAAAGGCATTGGTGAAAGGCACGTCCCTCTGCATATCGCAGGGACCAGGGTTTGCGATGGCGAATGGCTTTATGCCGATACAGACGGCATCCTCATCTCTCAATCCGAGTTGTCCGTTTAGGAAGTTGGGTATTGTTCCAGTGATTTCTGGCTTAGCGTTTTCAAATGATGTTGGTTTTTCTTTTGATGTATTCACTGGACAAGAATCAAGATTTGGAACTCTGGATTTTGTTGAAATAGAAACAATATATGGACATTTGATATGATTAATAATAATTAAAGGCATTATATCAATTAAGAATAAAATATATATCGTGTCAATTATATTTTGTCTTATTTGTTTTTTTGGTATCTTTATTTCTTTTTTTCCATAACTTTTCTTATAAATGTATAGATTATTTTTATTGTAACGTAATAAGAAAAAGTGATATAGTAATAAAAATATTTCCGTTCTTTTATCTTTTGTTCTTTCTTTCTAATTTAATTTCCGCATTTTATTTATCAGATCAGCGTTGCGATCTGAACTATATGTTTCTCTTTTTCTAATTTTCTAATCTCTTCTTTCTTTTGCATTTTGGATGTGTATATATCCAAATCGTTCAAAGATTAAACGATGTGCTATGACAAAAAGAAGTCAAAACTAAAAACTCTAAAATCAAGCAAGATGATATGACAAAAAGAGTTAAAGATAGAACTTTAATGTGTGATGCCAATTTTGAGCTGTCTTCGGATTGAATGTGTTATGTCCGATTCTCGGATCTTCTACAAAGTCACTTCAATCATGATCTTGTTACAGATCTCCTTCTTCAGCTGAAAACACTAACTGCGTTCTCTCTCTCTCTCTCTCTCTCTCTCTCTCTCTCTCTCTAACAGCGTAAAGCAATAACGATTTGGTGTTCTATTAGAATAATGGAGTTTTGAGAGGAGAAAGTGAAGGCGAATTTGTGACACGTGGATTAGTGCCATTCGTTTATCGCATGGGTATTAACCTGCACCGTCATATATTGTATAAAACCTTAAGCAAATAGTTTAAGAATTTTTTTAATTAATTTTATTTTGTAAAGCAAATTACATCATCGTTTCGTCCCAGTCTTATATCTGTTCCTCGTCGGAGTACTGTCGTCACGATCGAGAGAAGCAAGAAGAAAAAAAAGCGAGGTTAGGGTTACGGTTCTTCTCTGCGTGTCCTCTCTCTCTCGCCAGAGTAGCCGCCATCGATCATGACTGGTAAGGCGAAGCCGAAGAAGCACACGGCGAAGGAGATCGCCGCGAAGCTTGACGCAGCAACGACGAACAGAGGTGGAGGAAAGGCGGGAATCGCCGACAGATCTGGTCAGGAGAAGGGCGGTCACGCCAAGTACGAGTGTCCGCACTGCAAAGTCACCGCTCCGGACATCAAGACGATGCAGATCCATCACGAATCTAAGCATCCGAAGATTCCTTTCGAGGAGGCAAAGGTTGTGAATCTCCACTCGAGTCGTCCCGTAGAATCGGCCAAACCTAAACCCGGTGTCAGGGGAAGCCTGAAGAAGTGATGAATTTGGCTTTGATTTGGATGTATCGAGGAGTCGAATTCCTGATATATGTGATCTTTTTAATCTAGATTACGATGTTTGGGTGTTCTTGTTCAATGTAAGATATGCTGCCAGACCCATCATGTTGATGCTGTTTATGGCTATGTCTTTCTGTTCTCTTTCTATTATCTTCTGTCTTCCATGGAAGTGATGTTATATGAGGAATTGATATTTAATGGTTCTTGCGTATTTTGTTGTTCATGGCCTTATTTTTGTTTGATCTGCTAGTATGGAATAATTTCCTGGAGATCTTGCTTTTCTTCCCGACCTCTTTGTTTACTTGTTGTCAGAATTCTTCCAAGTGTGAACCCTTGTGATAAAGATAAAGGGATCTTGCATCAACATCTCAGTGTCAGTTCAGGCATGTTTGGTCTCTGGGACAAGCAAGCAAACCCTTCAGTAGTTTGCTGAGAGATTGAAGAGGCTCTTCAGTTCATGCTGGTGAAGATGATTTTTTTTTTTCTGATCTCATTTATGTTGAAGTTGTATTTGCCTCGGGCAGGCGGGATTATGTATTATCAGTGAAACCACCTTTGGCTGCACCTTATCCTTGATAGTGGCACAGGATTGATCTGTAAGAGCGTGGAATGTCAGATGGAATGGTATGCCTGTGGCTGTGTGTGTGAGGTCTCTGGAAGCACCAAAAGCCATCTGCTTCACTTTTTTGCTGATGAGGCTGAATCAGGTAATGTTCTAGTTTTTTTAATATAAGCATGATTTGGATAGAAACTGAGCTGAATATCTGGATATGAAACAGGTTTCTCTGAACTCAAAGTTGATTTGGTTTCTCAAAGTTTGAAAAGTTCGAATGAATCCATCCATATTATGTGTTGTGGCTTTTCAACCTCTTGTCTCTAACCACCTTCTGTGAAGCAGCAATGCAACGATGCAAGGAGCTCAAGATTTGAAAGGTCCATAGATCAAAGCTTGTAAGGACCCGGCATGAGAAAAAAGACACCATACATTCACATATAAGTGCCGAATATGGTGAGAAGGCATACATTTAGGTAGATGGATTGAGCAAAGGAGCATCATCAGCATCTCGTGAAGTAGCATTAGCGAGCAACTCCGGAGGGATGAGATCTTCCCAGGCTCTTCCTCGACCCACGATCAAAGTGCTCTCCCAACCGATGTGAGTAACGTGTTTCACGTCCATAGGCACGCCGATCTCCATCCCCCATGTCTCCAACTCTTCCTTGTACGCTGCATATGTCGTAAGTCTCCTCTCTCTGGTCATGCTGTTTAACTAATGGTGCTCTTTATCGATATGTCCTGCAGGAAAAAAAGAAGAAGCAAAAACGTACCAAAGAGCTGAGAGATGGACTTGAAGCTCTTGAAAAGACGATGAATGCCCGTGGAGATTTCGGGTTTGAACTGCAGGTTCTTCATGTTATCTTCCTCCTCGTTTTCTTCACGAATCTCTTCACAATTAACGAAACAAAGTCACCATAGATATAAACATGCATGCATGCATACATACGTACATACCTATATATAGATATGTATATACTTACGTATACCTTTAGGTGAAGTATTGGAACGAAACTTGGAGGATCTCTTATGAGAGTCACAAATTGCAGCCACGGCAACACTTGAATCAGAAATGCACCCGACTGAGAACGGAAGCACGACAAATCTTTCCATTCTATCTCTCGCTCTAGGGTCTGAAGCTAATATTATACCCTTGTGGTACCTATATATATACACGTATATATATATATATATATGTGTGTGTATGTATAGAAGAGAGACAAAACAACCGAAGGGGTTTAGTTGTGTTGCTGATGGTGTTTTTGCCTTTGCCGTGAAGTTACAATGATATTTACGTGCGCGTAAGACTTTGTGGTTTGGTAGAGACGAAAGTGTGACACTTGCTCTTAACCACAGGTTGGTGGAATATTTGCTTTGTGACACACGAATTGGTGTTGATTCTGCTAATCATTGCATAACTATGGCCAATGCTGAATTTATATATATGCTTAGGTGATTTCGTATTATTCCATACATTATTGATTTTATAATCATCATACTAATGGGATATTCAAGATTTGGACATTGATTCGTGTTAAAAGGTATGAAATGTAAGCTGTATATAGTTTTGGGGCTAAATTATAAAGTTTGAGATTTTATTGGGGTTAAAATATAAGGTCGATATTTAATTGGTCCATAGAGGAAAAAGAGCCCAATAATTTATTTGGGCTAAAAGCCCAGTTGATCTCTCCGTCACATTCTGCGTCTCAACTCTCAACACCTTCTTCTTCCCCACGAGAGCAACTTCCGAGTTCCGGCCATGGCTTTCTTTTTCAGCCCTTGAAAAGACCCACCCTTCGATTCAGTCGCTTTCCCAAGTGTAGATCTATCTCTGAAAGCCTCATCTTCAATCAATTTCGTCAGGTGTTTGAATTTCTCTGAAGACATTTCTGTGCGCTTTCGGCTTCGCTCATAACTTCCGATTTCGAAGCGTTTCGTCGCCATTTAAAAGCTCCGAAAAGGTACGGCTTTAATGTTTGATCTCTCCGGCATTTATGTATCTCCCTTCGATCGTGTTCCTCGTTCGTAACGTGTTCCATTTCGTGATGCTCAAACCTTTGAAATCTATGTCGTTTGTGATTGACGTGACCCTCTATGATGAGGATCGATGAACCGTAGTTGACTGATGATGAATGGTTTAGTTTAAGCTTCTGGTTACTGTAGTTATGTAGTGTATGTTTATGGAAATAGGGTTTCTTTCCTGTTTCATTCGGCTCTGTGGTTATAGAAATCGTCAAGAGTCTGTGTTGATATGTTCTGCGCCATATGGAAATTGAAAATTCGCTACCAAATCCAGTTTTGCCAACATTTGTGCTCACTGATTCGACCTTCGATATCTCTTCGTGATCATCTCACTGAGAAACTTGTCTCTCGGACAAGCATTTTCAAGTGGTTTTGTCTCATGTTCTTCTGCTGTTTTCACAGTGCTTACTCTCAAGGAAGAGCTTCCAACAAGTATCCCTCTTTATGCTCTGCCCTCCGAATATGGCCGGTGTGCTCTGATTCGAACCCGAGGGAAAACCGTTCGAGCTCTGTTATCTGCTTTTCATTAGCGAGATGCCTCATGGCTGATGGAACTTTACTTTCGCTGGATTCTTCAGACATTTTGGCAGCAGAACAGATATTGGTGATCGGGAAAGAG